AGTTTTTTTAAAAAAAAAAAAAAACCACAATTTGGTCCTTGGGGCCAGTTCATAATTTCTGAAATTGGCCTAGGGCCTGTTTGTAATTCCTGGAAAATGATTAGGGCATGTTTGGTTGTATTGAAAATTCAGATTTTTGAAAAATCTCAAATAATGGTTATTTTTGCTTGTTTCAAATTTCTGAAAAATCTCTACAATTGAAATTAATCCTTGGGGTATATTTCAAACTAAAACTATTGTCAAATGACTATTAAATATTTTTGAAATATTTAATGAACAAACAAAACGAAGCTTCGAGCTTGTTTAATAATTCAAAATTTTAGAAATTTTGATGAGCATTTTAGCACATTATTTTGATCCATGACTTTGCTTGGCTTATGTATTTTGAATACATCATTGTTATGTGTTTAGAACCACATAAATGAATGAGTAATTATATTACTTACTTGTATGTATTTTGAATACATACATTAGTAATTAAATTACTTATTTGTATTTTGAATACATATTGTTTTATCTTATGTGTTTGGAATATTATAAATGCATGATAATTGGATTATTTGCTATTATTTGTCTAATTGAAATAAATTAAATAGTTTATTTTATTTTAGTTAGCGTCCGCGATTATATTGTCTGGGTAGGCGGCGCCCAGTATTTGTCGGACCGCGATTATATGTCTGGGTAGGCGGCGCCCAGTATTTGTGGACCGCGTTATATCATGCTCGGGTAGGCGGCGCCCGATATGTGTTATTTATTGGATCTTGTTTGAATATTGGATATTTAATACCCCGTTCAAATGTTCCCCTAATAAAATATAAGTCTCATCTTGGATGCATGATGTCACCCATCACAATTGAATGAGTGCAAAAACCTCTTCGTCCAAAAGTATTTACACCCTAGTGTTTGCTTAGGTCTACGAGGCTCAGACTCATTCATTGATACATATGTTTGTGATCGTGTGATGGTTTTGACTTACTTAGCTAATTCTTGTCGCCCTAGCGTCGGAATGATCTAAGGGCGTCGATCAAATTAGATTTGATCACCCAAAAGTTGTAATTGTTTACAATTGGTTTAGAGACCTACCACTACATACATTATAGTGATCAGCCCTAGCTGGGACTATAATAGGATGGATGTGGATCTTGGCTCACTATGACTATATTTGATATGAGTCCGTACTCTTCTGATGGGGTCGTAGAGTATGTGAAAATAGTGGGAGCTAAATTAATTAAAAGTCCTGTTAATTTAGTTAACAAATGTGATCAAGTTGTTTTATATTCCTGTTCTATATGATTCTCTCAGTTGAATAGAATTTTGAATTTATCATTGAAATGTATGATGGAAATGAATATGTTGACTGGACTAAATTATCTGGATTGACTGCATCTTTTGTGGTTGTTGTTGTGGTAAAAACGAGTTGAATGTGTTCGACACAATGGTGTCCATCATACCTAATAAGACCTTTTTGGGGTACTATGCGTTTGACCATGATACCCATAAGAAGTATTAGGATGATAAAATTTCAGTGTAATATGTCATATTGTTCTCTACGTCAACTAGGTTGAAGGGACAATGTGATGGGATGAATTCCAATGAATGTGAGAGCATTTAAACAGAGTTTATGACCCTCAGTCTCAAACCTTGGAGTTTGAACTGTTGGGAAATCTCTTCAAATGCAAACTACATGATGGGATAAAGTCTTTGTGTATGTCGTGGAGATGATTTGACTGATTGGGAGTCTGACTTCGTTTGAATGAAGCTCCCTGATCACGTCGCTGTGAATATCATCTTGCAGTCGCTCTAGTTTCATATTATAACTTCATTGTGAATTTTTATATGAAATGATACGAGGACAACGATGCCTTAATTGCACAACACGATCAAGACTTACAATCCGTTCGCTCTTAGGAAAGGTTGTACTCATGACAAGTTCTTCTGCTAAATCTTACCAAGGGTAAGAGTAAGTAGAAAAGAGGTTGAAATTGTTTCTAGACCTGCAACCTAGAAACCTAAGGAAATGATGAACAAAAGCTGAAATTGTTCAATGATATATGTATTTTCTGCAAAGAAAATGACATTGGAAGAGAGGTTGTATGTGTTTCAAGGCACAGGGTGTTGCGAACACTGCATAGAATTTATTTGCTTAAACAAAAGTTTAAAGTAATACGAAAATCTCTGTTTTCTTATGGCATTGTTGATTTGGTCATATTAATGAGACATTATTATCAAAGTTAAGTATATTAGATTACTTAACACCGTGTGACTTTGAGTAACATGGAATTTGTGTATTTTTGTCTTAAATGAAATGATGACCAATAAGTCATTTTCTTGGAAAAGGGACAAAAGCCAAAGAATGTTTGAGTTGGTCTACATTCAACATATGTGGACCTTTTAAGACTCAAGTTAGAAGAGATTTTTCGTACTCCATCATCTTACTAATGATTTTAAAGGTTAAGTTATGTGTGTCTTAAGGACCACAAATCGAAGCCTTAGAAAATTCAAGAAGTATAAGTTTGGAGTAGAGAAACAACATGACTAAAGTATCTTTTCGATTTGATCGAGGAGAAGAATACTTGAGTATGAAGTTTCTTTATTACTTGAAATTTCATGGAGTCCAAAATCGTAATGAGTACCTCCTAAGACTCATTTGATGAAGTCTTCGAAAGGAGCAATCAAACCTTATTAGATATGGTTAAATCCATATTAAGTTTCACTACTCTTCCACATATCATTGGTGTTATGCCTAATTGAACTCGATTTATATTTTGAATAGAGTCCATTGAGATCAGTTGTAAAGACGTCATATGAATCATGGCGTGGCAAGAGGCCTTGTCTTCAACATATGTGAACCTGGGGTTTGTCTAGCATATGTGAAGAAACTTTTAACTGATAAATTGGAATATAAAAGTGAAGAATGTTATTTTGAAGACTATCCAAAGAAACACGAAAATACTAATTCTATTTTCCTAGGGAACATAGAGTAATTGTCTTTAGGTAGACGATGTTTCTAGGAGAATATTATTTCTTCAAAGAACAAGGTCGTGTTGTGATAGAACTTGAAAAGTTCAAGAAACTCAAAATAACATTGAGGTTCGAGAATTGTCGTTTGGTATTAACAAAGATTTAGAGGGAGGTATTGGTGATTCCCTGATAGAATCTTGTCATTTGATGGACAACTTCTAGCTAGTGGGAGTAATATGGGTGAAACTGCAGAAGTGTAGCACACTCATATACAACCAATACCTAATGGCTTGGATGGCTTTTATTCTCAATAAACGCATGAAAATGTGATTTTGAGAACCCTCAAATCATTGAACATATCAACATACAATAACTTCTTCACGACCAAAATATACAACCACAAACGCAAAATATTGAACTCCGTAGGTCGACTATAACTCGTCGTGAACTAATTAGATTGTATCTCCTCTTGGAGGATCACGACGACATAGAGATTCCTAACAAGGATGATCTTAGGACCTACACTGAGTTTATGTAAGACATGGACTCAGGGAGGTGGCTTGATGCCATAAAATCATAAATGGACTCGATGTACACGAATCAAGTTTAGAATTTGGTTGACTTGCCAATTGGGGTTAGACCTATTGGATGCAAATGAGTTTTCAAATGAAAACAGATGCAAATGGCAAAGTACAAACTTATAAGGCCAGATTGGTTGATAAAGGTTATAGTCGACGTGGAAGTATTGACTATAATGAGACCTTTTCACCAATTGCCAAGATTAAGTCCATTTGGATTTTACTTGCAACAACTGCATACTATGACTATGATACTTGATAGATGGATGTTAAAATTATTTTTCTTGATGGAAAATTAGATGATGTATACATGATACAACCTGAAGGTTTTATATCCAAGTCAAAGTCAAAATTAGTATGCGAGTTACAAAGGTCCAATTGTGGACTTAAGCAAGCCTCTGGGAGCTGAAATGTTTGTTTCTACAAAGTTACATAATTGTTTGGCTTTGTGAGAAGTAAGAAGGATCTATGCGTTTATAGTAAACGTAATGAGGATAATATTATTTTTATCATATATGTATGTGACATATTGATAAGGAAATGATGTTCCTCACCTGCAGTCCATGAAAGATTAATTATCAAGTACCTTCATTGTGAAGGATTTGGGTGAAACCTGCTATACTCTTGAAATTAGGATCTATCGACCTAATAGAGTGTTAGAGTTTTCACGGTCCACGTGTGTAGTCAAGGTACTGAAGTGTTTCTCTATGGAAAATTCTAACAAAAGGAATATTCCGATGGTCATGACATCAAGTTGGCAAAGAAAGATTGTCTTTCTGTTGATGCCAAACTTGGTCGCATGAAGAAGATCCCATATGCTTATGCAATGGAGTCTATCATGCGTGTTATGACATGTACGAGATCTATATGGATTATGCACTTAGTATCACTTGTTGATTCCAATAAAATCCTGGGGAGATATATTGGAAGACTATTATTTAGTACATTAGATGGACTAAAAGGTATATTTATTCTATGGTGGGAATAATGATTTAATATTTACATTCATTTCAATGATGTGGAAGTAAGCTGGAATAGTTCGAGCAATAAACCACTGTGAATTCAACCGCAAAGGCCAAGTACATTGTTACATTAAAGGCCTATGGAGGCTATTTGGATACATGAGTTCTTAAATGAACTAGGGGTAGTTCCAAGTGCCATTTATCTAATATCTACATATTATGATAAAACGGTGCGATTGCACGGGCAAAGGAACCAAGATCCAACAACAAAATAAACATGTACAAAGGCACTATCATTTATTTAGAGATAATTGATAGAGGAGAAATAAGTTAGAACGTGTTCAAAATGAACATTACTTGAATGGTTCGTTCACCAAACCATTGTGCATGGTTGAGCACAATAGTCATTTTTAGAAAATGTGTATTAGATACATTGGTGATTGCCTCTAGTTCAAGTGGGAGATTGTTGGTATATGTGTCCTAGAGACAATCATTTTAAGGACATATATACATGATCACATTAATAATTATATTAGATTATAATTATGGTATTGCAATTAATTAAATAATTGTTTGATTGTTTGCAATTTATTAATTAATTGCTCCCTTGAGTTAATACTGTCATTAGCAGAGTGAGATGTTAATTGATGAAGTATAACTCTCAAATCGCCTCAATCGATGATCATTAAGAAAGGGATATTAATGATACGCGATAGATTGACATGTGGTCTGCATCACATTCTTCGAGAATATAGTATGTCTCACTGCTATGAATAATTGTTATTCGTGATGGACACATGGATACTTTGGAGAGTATTGGCATACCCTACCGATAAACCATTTGTTTATGTGTCTATGGGAGTATCGGTGTGTGGAATGGTGTAATAGTCCTTTGACTTGAGGTCAATACGCAATTCATGTATAGAGTGATTTACTTAGACCTAGTCCAAAGCTTACGCCCTTATGGGTAGATACGGGCTTGTGTTGGGTTGGTCACGATATACATGGAATTGGTAGTTGAGCCAAGATAGGATTCATTCCTCGAATATAGTTTCGAGAGAACACTCGTTTTCTCTATACTGGGTTGATAAAGTCATTGGCCAATGCACGCGATTATATTTGAAATGGTGTTCAAATATAATTGATAAAATCAACCAGTGAGATGAGATAAAATGATTAAGCTGTTTGGATAGACACACGTTCAAATCCTAAGCTTAATCGAGTGGTTCGTGAATGAAGGGACCGTATCACTATTGAGTTCTACACGAAAGGTTTGTTTGCTTGTCCATGTAAACGTACTTCATATTTTGAGTTCGTCCTTCGACGCAGTCTAGGAGTTTCGTAAGGATCATAAATTAGATTTATGTCAATATATGAAGGCCTATAGGGTCACACAATATGCAATCAGTTTTCCGGCTAAGAGTGAATCGAGAGTGTTAAATATTCAATTGGATTGAAATATTTATTTTTGAGTAATGAGATTATTTTCTATTTGATGGAAAATATTTAATTAAGTTAAATTGGATTTACACTTAATTAAATTATTAATTGAAAAATAATTAATTAAGTTAAATTGGATTTATACTTAATTAAATTATAAATTGGGTTAGGTCCAATTACCTATTGGGCTATAGGGTTTCCTAAGGCCCATATGATTAGGTTTGACCTAATTATAAATATCTCATTATCTCATTCATAATCTTAATCGATTAGAACGATCATTAGATGAGAGATGAAAGATACATAGTAAAATAAAACACTCTCTAGCTTTCTGGATCGAGGATTCCTAGCTTCTTCACCGGAAGGGATTCATTGGCGTTAGATCGTGCACCGGAAAACTGGATTGCGTGGATACCATAGTCGAGGACAAAAGACGAATAACTGTAAGTTTTCGTGTATCATTCACGTGATCTAGGATCATATCGAATAACTATAGCCGGATCTTCGTTGTTGGTAAGAAAATTTTTTTAAATTCCGCTGCGCGTGCGATTGAATCGTACGTCTAAAATCCAACAATACAGGCAGACATAGTATTGCGAGGATATTCTGGCTGGAACTCGAGACGCGCGCTTCAAGTTTTGGACAAAATTTTCCCAAAGGTATCTGGCTGGTTCATGATTCTCATGGTCATGAATGTATTGAATTGAACCACCATTGGCTTTTTGCCCTTTATTAAAGTTCATCGAAATTGTATTTTTGTTTAAGGTACCAGGAACACTTCAGAGCTTTTTTTTTTCGTTCTTTTTCGTTTTTGAAAATGAGAATTTTTCACTTTGGACTGACTTATTATCCTCCCATTCGGTTGCATCTATTTTCTTACGTAATTTCTTTTAAAATTCTTTCTCTTCTTTTTTTTTTTTCCTTTTTCAGGATGCAGCTGTCAACCCTTCTCTGGTTATAGTGTATTTTGGTGGTAATGATGCATTGCATCCTCACCCTAGTGGCCTAGGCGCTCATGTTCCTTTACCTGAATATATCGAAAACATGGAAAAGATTTATCTTCATCTCAAGGTAAAAACTGTGTGTCCACTGTTCGTCTCACAGCCCCACCTTGCGTGAACAATCTGTAAAACAAAGAAAAGGATTTTACGTAAATAAATTGTTTTAGCAGGATATGTACGCTTATGTCTTTGCTTTTATTCATGAGCTAGACAGAAGAAAAAAAGAAGACAGGAAAAAGGAATTTTGTATATTATATTATTAACAAGGAATTAGTTTAAACTTCTAAAGAGTAAACACCAATACTTGAGAGGATGCTCTAGAATGCCACGGAGAAATTTCGAGTCTTAATTAAAAATTGAATAATTTATGGTTATGGCTTTATGCACGCGACATGGTGTTGTTCGTGTATCCCATATTAATATAGTCATATATATTTTGCATTCTGTTATAAATTTGTCGAGCATTGTTGTTTCAGTGAATGATTCTGCTATATGCTTTTGGTCCTAGAAGGAGCAGCAATTTATATAAATGTAATTAATTTCAGACACTACAGTGTTCTCAATTTCTAACACAAGATATTAGCACTAATTGCAGAGTCTCTCTGAGAAGACACGGCTGATTTTTCTCACTTCTCCTCCTGTGAATGAGACAATGATCCATGAACATTTCGGGTGTTTTGAACTTTAAATCACTACACACACACACACACAGATATGTATATTAGAGTCATGACCACTGATAAAACTTACAGTCTTCTTTTCTTTTGGCTGTTTAAAAACTAGTAATGCACACGATAATCAAGACAGAACAAATGAAACCTGTCATATATACGCCGAGGCATTAGTGGAGTTGTGCCGAAAATTGGACATTAAGGTCATCAACCTTTGGACTGCGGTTCAGCAAAGAGAAGATTGGGCAACAACTTGCTTTAGGTAATTTTTGTGCTTTTTACTGCTGCACGCCCGACTTTCTTTTATACCTAAGGTAAAGTGAAGCATATTTTAGGTTTAGTTATAAAGAGAACACCATTTAATTACATTATGAAATGTAGGTATTACCCGTGCGTTCAAATGTGTTAGAACACGGATTATTTGTAAATTTAAATTTATGTTGCAACACCAGAATATATTGAAATAGCGGAAGCACAAAACAAGAGATATAAACTCTTCGAGGAGCATCTCACTACCCTCAAAGATCTTTCATTGATAAATTGATTGTGCACTCGTCTATAGTTGGACTTACAACAACTAGAACTCCCTTCTAGCCTAGCCACAACTACACTCGAAACTACCAACTACTTCTTTGGCTATGTCTCATGGACTTCACACACTCGAATCCCTCGAGCTGAGTACTTAATCCTTAAGTACTAGAAACAGTGTTTGAATAGAATATGAAAAACTAAAACAAAACGGGTTCAGTTCTTTGATATTGAAAGAACATCGAGTCTCTGAACTGTGAACTAAATGAAAAACAAAACTCGAACTCTCAATTGAATGTTGGGATTAATACGTGAATGTTGATAATCTCAACAACCTTCAATTGATCTTCAAGTAGGGTTTATGTAGACTCCTTAGGCGTGAAGTCTTCTCCAAGTAACTTCACTTCTTTTTCCGATTTCCTTCCAAGAATATAGGTTGAAACATGATAAGTGTATATCTCTTTTTTAGAGAGATCTTCACTTCATGCATGCTTCTTATCCAGGTCCATGCATATACGATATTCTACAATAAATGTCCTAAATATACATATATATATATACCGATATATATATAAATATGAATATAAATAAAAGAACTTTCCTTTTATTTCTTATGCTTGGAAGAACACATCTTCAATATATTATTTTTGAACTTGTTGCCAAAAATAAATCTTTCACATTACATCTCATCTGCCTTCTAAAAATAATGTATCCTGTTTTCTATTTGTTCCCATTTTACAAATTGCACGCATATATGCGGCAATGTTTTGAAAAAAATGCAAACCTTAGCCTTAAAGCGGTAATTATAATTTTGAAAAAATAAATGGTTTCTCCTGTAATTGAATTATCATCCATATTTGAATGGTGTCTGTACTTATTAACATATGATCTGGTAACTGGATATCTTTGATCTTTTTCCCCTGTACTATACTATATATAAATTGTGGTTAAATGCAACACTTGTTTAACATTTTACGATTTGTTGTATGTAGAGATGGAATCCATTTCTCGGCTGAAGGGAACAAAATAGTGGCGAAGGAGATATTGAGAGTTATAAAAGAGGCCGATTGGGAACCGAGCCTATATTGGGAGTCTATGCCGAACGAATTTGCTGAGGACTCACCATATTACATGGTGCACCCTAACGGTAAAACCACCAACAATATCTCTTCAGTAATCTCTCGATGGAAAATGAAATGGATGGTGAACGGCATTAACTCGAAGCTTTGATTTTTAATGGTGGACTTCTATTGTATCCTTGAATATATATTGTCTTAATTGTGTGGTTAATTTGTCCCGAGGTCTTCGGAGTAAAAGTAAAATGTTACGTAGAAGGTTATTGGTTTTGAATTTGACTACCATTAAAGGAAAAGATGCATGAAACAGTTCTGACATTTTCTCGGTCATGCATGAAACATAAGTTTCCGAGCATGCTGAACTTTGAATTTATTTCTTGGTTTTGTGGCTACGTGATGATTTTCTCGACTATATTTCCATATCAAAATCTGTCTGCTATATATCTTAGTTGTTGATTTATTCGAAATTAGTCTTCGATTGGTGTAATTTAGTGTCGTGCTTTGTTTATACTTCATATTGAAGTCATTCTGCTTGTAAGAACCTGTGATAGAAGTTGGAATGGTTGGTAAAGAGTCATTTGGGGGCGGCTGTGCAAATAAGAACTATTGGGGTATCTTTCTCATTTCTGGCTGTTAACCTAATTTTGTGGTGGATATGTAAATTAAATCGAGCCTCTGGATCATTGAGGGGCGATTGTTTATGTTTTCAACAGGAAAAAAAATCAATCAAAACTTAAATTTAACTCAATTTTAACCTAACCCCACTCTCTCTCGTATTATCAATATAATTAAATAATATCAACCAATCAGTTTTACACATCACATCAATTTTAATTCACTATTCATCAATTCACATAATTTTAACTAATCATTATTTCCAATCATTTTTCTCCTATTTTACATCAAATCAACTTCAATTATTTTTATTTAAATATTGTTTTAATATATCCACTAACAACTAACCATACCACCTTTTTTTTTTGTAAATAAACTATAATTATAAAACAAACAAAATAAAAAATAGTTGAATCAATAAACAATCAACTCCTAAATTTGCACGAGGGGAGAGTGAGTGTCTCACTCCCACCTAACCCTATTTTTGGCCAAAAATAAAATAAAATAAAATAAAATTAATAAAAATAATTTTCACATTTATAAAAATATTTTCACCTAAATGTTTAGCTATGCCCCGTCTCTTGGTAATAATATTAAGAAAGCTTGGATACAAGTTATCCAAAAACACCTCAATTATTTTTAACGAATAACTTTTTTTTTAAAGTTAAATCTAACTCAATTTCATATCATCAATATTATCAATATAATTAAATAATATCAATCAATCATTTTTATACATCATATCTTTTCTACTTTTACATTTAAATATCATATCTTTCAAAGTCGTATAATTTGATTATAGGCTTGAGCGATATTTTGAGTTTGTATTAAAATAATATTTTAAATAAAATGATTAAAGTTGATTTGATATAAAAGTAAGAAAAAATTAGATGAAAGTAGTTAAAATTATGTGAACGATGAATAGTGAATTAAAATTGATGTAATGTGTAAGATTGAGTATTGTTATTGTTTAATTATATTGATAATATTAAGAAAGATTTGAATTGAATCAAATTTGAGTTTGTGATTGAAAATATCCAATCAAAATATATATCCAAGCACCACCTAGGTACTTAAATTGTTTTTACACGCATGTATCTATAAATTCAAATATTACATTCCAAAATATAAAATAAATCATTTAATTATAAAATATGACTGGTTAACTCATCTAAATTCTAATATGTACCACAACAATGAAGTGCATGTTTGTTTACAAAATAATTCACACATTCAATTTATATTCAAAATTTCTCAACTTTACTATTCTCAATATTATCAATATAATTAAATTAAATAATACAAACTAGTTACAATCATATCAACTTTAATTCATTATTCATCTACTCACATAATTTTAACTAGCTATCACTGCACATCATTTATCTCTTACTTTTACATCAAATCAATTTTAATTATTTTATTTTAAATATTATTTTAATATAAAATCAACATCCTACTAATAATTAGTCATCTAATTTTTTTAAAATTAATTATAATTAATCGAAAAAAATCATTTTGAGTATATTTATTAGTAAACAAACCCGCACTAAAATCTAATTTTTTTAAAATTAATTATGATTAATCGAAAAAAAATCATTTTGAGTATATTTATTTGTAAACAAACCCGCACTAAAGAATATATATAATCATTTATATACATTTTTTAAATTTCCACCTACCCAACTGCAAAGCCATGGCCAGCTCTAAGGGCCAGCTGCTCTTCAACTCTTCAATTGGTCAACTCTTTTTCTACCTCCTTTCCCTCCCTCGATTCAATAAAAGCACAAACTCAGCAAATTTTCACACAGCACACACACAACCACTCGCAGCTGAAGGAGAAGAACAAATAGTAGGAGAAAAATGGTGGGTCCCGGTCGCCCGCAGTTTGTGCTATTCGGGTCGTCCATAGTTCAGATGAGTTTCAACGTCGGAGGATGGGGCGCCGTTCTCGCCGACCTTTACGCTCGCAAGGTACCATTTTTCGTCGCTCAAATTGATGCATAAGTTCAATAATTTGCTGTACTCGGGTTATAATTTTGTTTAATTTGCTGTTTCTTGTTCGGGGGGCTCGTTTATTTTTCCGATGATTTCTGAATCTGGCTGTGATTGAGATATTGTGATTTTTTGTGATTGCTTGCAATCGGATTTGGGTATTTAGTAATTGATTCAGGATTTGTAATCTTGAAAGTTGGATTTTTTTTTTTTTTNTTGACACTCGTTTGCTTGGAATAAAATTTCATACTCCTTTTTGTTTCATTCTATCCTATTAGATTGATGAAAGGACACTTGAACGTAAACATGATGATGTCATATTTGTACATGTGTCATTCATTCATCCAAGAATGAAATGCTGAATGAAAAAGGAAAGTGGAACATGAGATCTTATCCATGTATGCGCATATGCTTGTGGGCAATTGTAGGTAGATTGGAAGTGTTTTGGAATGTTTAAGGTCAAAAGGATGGGTAATGCAATAATTTAATTTGGTGGTTTTTCAAGGCTCTTTTTGAAGCTTGACTAAACTTCTTATGGGATCTTGATTTTCCATATTTCGGTTCTGAATAGTTAATTGCTGTTTCATGACGGTGTTGGTTGACATTAATTGAAGCTTCTGATTGATTATCCTCTTGTTGGTTAGATTTTGGTATTTCAATGATCATGTGATTGCCTTTTTTTCTGATTAGTAAAATGATGTCTTTTGTAGTTTTTAGAGAGGTAAAGACATTTTGTAGGAATGGTTAGGTGTGTTCTGTTTTCTTCTCCTTTTGGGTAAGATGAAAAATAATATTCTTAGTAAAAGGTATTCTTAGTAAAAGTTTATCTTTAGAATATACTGTACATCTGATAAGGTAATGAACTATTTGTTTCGTTAACTGTTGAAGGCTGATGTGGTGCTAAGAGGATACTCCGGTTGGAATACTAGGATGGCTCTCGAAATCTTGGACAAAGTTTTCCTCAAGGTATATATATACAATATTAATTCATAACACGTGTAATTAATCTCGTTAGATATATATATGATGGCGTTCAAATTTTTCCATGAAAATATATTTTTCCGCTCCTCCATTGATGGAATTTCACGTACAAGAGAATTTATTTCTTCATGCATAATTGTACTCTAGTAAAAGTTATCCCGATTCAATTTTCACACAAACTAATGGCAAGATTTTTTTTTTTTTTCTTCTCTTAAATGGCTTTGAGTTTAGGATGCAGTTATTCAACCTTCTTTGGTTATATTGTATTTCGGTGGTAATGATGCAACAAACCCTCACCCGAATGGCCTCGGTTCTCATGTGCCTCTTCCTGAATTTATCGACAACATGAAAAAGATGATTGCTTATATCAAGGTTCGTTTCACATTATTAGTTGTGCACCAGTTTTTACTTATATAAATATAATTAATGACTGCAAAAAATGATCTATTCTGACAATATTTTTTCAACAATTTTTCAGAGTCTTTCTGATAAGACGCGGATAATATGTCTGACATCGCCTCCCGTTAATGAAGCGAAAGTTCGTGAAATTTTTGGGTAACCACACAGTATATGCTATAATAAAGTCGCTTTCTTGTTCAAATGGTCTTTTTTTTTTCTTTTTTCTAACTTACTTATTGATCTCTCAAAAAATTAGGAAAGGACTTGATGATCAAGCCCGGACGAACGAAGGCTGTCGTATATATTCAGAAGCTTTGGTAGATTTGTGTCGGGAAATGGATGCTGAGGCCATCAATCTCTGGACAGCAATCCAAGAAAGAGATGACTGGGCAAATGCTTGCTTTATGTAATAACTCTTCACAGTTTAAGCCATTTTTTTTTTGGAGGAAATAGTTATTTGCACCCGTTCTGAAGAATTAATAAGTTTTTTCAAGTTAATTTTTTCACCTCTGAAAGTGCGAAAGTTAAAAATGCGAAGACATTTGCATAATCCTTCGCACTCTCTAATGTGAATATGTGACAATTATTCGAACCATTCGCATAACCTTCGCATTTTCTAGGGTGAAAAAGTTAGATTATTAGCGGGCAGGGTGAAAAACTTAATATAATCTTCAGGTTGGGGTGTAAAAGAAATTTTCTCCTTTTTTTTTTTTTACTTTTTATTGATTCGGTGAATCATGAAAGTTAATTTTTGTTAAATCATGCAGAGATGGAATCCACTTGTCATCCGAAGGTTGCAAGATTGTGGTGAAGGAGATTCTTAAAGTACTCAAGGAGGTCGATTGGGAGCCGAGTCTCTATTGGCTTACAATGCCAGCCGAATTTCCCGAGAACTCACCGTATTACGTAGTTGGCCCTGATGGTAAAACCACAGTTAATGTTTCTAGCCATATTTGTGCTTGGCAAAAGGAGTGGCTCAACATTTAGTGCAATAGGGCAAAATTTCCAAGTGTAATTTGGTTGAGCAACATTTACCACTATTTATACAACTTTCAACATTTTTCAGATGAGCACAATCGTCTTATCGGTTATTGGACTATGAAGATTTTTTCATTGTAATTCATATTCACGAGCCCTTGGCTCGGATGAATCGATCCTTCTCTGGAATCAAGGAACAATAATTTGAATAAGGTTTGCAAAGAAACAAACGCACGTTTACTCGAGCAAAATCTGATACAGGCCGAAACTCGAAAGCCATTTTCCGAGTTCGGGTAGATTCATTAAAAATTTAAAATCCTACGCTTAGAGAGAGAAAATAAAAATAAAAATTGCTGTTCGAGTTGGGATCAAATGTTCTTACCAGCGGCTTGTAATATGATTAGCAACTTGAGAAAGTAATAAGATGCGCCTCCGACTGTTGCGTACTGCAATTTCTCGGCACCTTCGACTTTTGGGAAATCGTTTTCGGTTGCTCGATTAAATCCTCCGGCCAACCATCCTAACTTTTTGTATCCCACTTCGTACAATTTTGCAACAGCCACCAAAGACCTTTACCACAAAAAATAATTATTCTTTCTTTAATGGTGATTATTAGTGCTGTTAAACGAGTCTGTCTCGGCTTGGGTCGAGCCCGACTCGTTAAGGTTCGAGGCTCAAGCTCGAACTCATTTAAAGTTTGTTTGGTTAAGCTCGGCTCAATAAGGCTCTTAAGGCTCGAAAAAATAATTTTTATATAGTTTGGCTCGTTAAAGCTCGATATTGGCTCGTTATAACTCGAACTCGACTCGTTATTAGTGATAAACGAGACGAGCTTGAACTCAATTTCAGGCCCGTTAAGGGCTCTTATACATTTGATTCATTGGATTACGCTAAATACATTTATACACCCATGTTTTGACGGTTTTGCTATGGAGTCATCGGATGACTCGGCTTATGGAGTCATCCATAGTTATCCACAAAAAGTGTATTGACACGTGTCCTGCAATAAATGCACATTGGACACGTGTCAATACATAAAGTTATGGATGGGCTCCATAAGGGAACCATCTGATGGCTCCATAGCATTTCTGCATGTTTTGAATCTATTTTCACCTCATAATGCCTATATTTGATACATTTTCGAGAAAATCCATGAACCCCATATCACATTTTAATTCTAAGGACCCCAAAAACCAAACCACACACAAATTGCAAGCAACATTATCACCATTTCAGTTTTATATAGTTCATCAGTTTAGTTAATTCGGTTATTTCCGTGGTTTTTTTCGGTTTTAATCGAACATTGCGCACCCACACTACATATAGTTTACAATGTGGGTTATAAAAAAAATTCAATTCAACACATTACTCTTCTCATTACAATATTATTATCAAAATCAACAACTTATATTAAAGCAATCTAATATATTTTTTTTCTCTGTACCTTAATCCCTCTCCACAAGCGACGAGGACCTTGGAATTCTTATCGGGTACCAAATCCTCGACCCGCTCCACAAAACCCGGATTTATCGCCGTAAACCGCTGGCCCGTCCACAGCCCGATGTACCCAAAATGGACCCACTTTTTCAGCAGAGTGATGGGGCCATTGTCCGTGTCCTCCACGAACAGCGGCACGTGCAGAGACCCCGAAACACGTGCCTTCTCCCTCTCCCAATTGGGCCTGATGTCCAGCAGCGTGTAGCCTTCCGGGCCCAATGCTGAGGCCGCATCTTTCGGTGCTATGGGCGCGACCGCACCGGATTGGATCAGCTCACGGCCGTTTCCGCCCGGCAGCGCCGCTCGCGCTTTCAGGGAGGAGGCGGGGAACGGTCTCCGGAGGTGTTTTGGGGCTAAGGTTGGTGTGTGGTGGTTAAGCAATTGAATTGCCATGGTGGACATGAGCTCATCCTTTTGATTTTGACTCCTATATAAAATGGGCATATCTATATTTTAAGAAAATAGTTTTATTATTAATTCATACAATTATTTAAATAATTACTCTAGTTCATAAATGAAATTAGTTGAATGTGAGTAGTCTTGTTAAATTAAACGAGCCTAGTTTGGTTCGGCTTGAGTTCGTCTCGGCTCGTTTGATAAACCAGCCAAGCTCAAACTCATCTATATCTATATATGTATAATAAGAATTAACATTTTTTAAAAAATAGTAGGTCAAAATCTGGTCAACATTAATTACATTCCATTTTAAGTAACTTTTTTTATTTTTATTTTTTTAAATCCGACAACAATAAATGCTGCCCTTAAAATGTGGCCTTTTTATCTTTACAGAAAATCGGACAACCTTATATGTTGGACTTAAAATTAGAATTTGTTACATTATCCAATAAAGTTACTGCTGACTTTAAAATTATTTTTGGAAACATCTTTTTTCACCAAAAATTACGGGTAATTCAATTATATTGTTTGACAACTTTTAATTTTTAATAAAAAAGAAATTATGGATGATTTAATAACCAGAAATTATATTGTTTGGCAACTTTTAGCTTTTAATTTCTAATAGCTAATGCCATTTAACATTGGTTTTAATTAATAAATCACATTCATGTATCTAAAAATATGATTCATAATATTAGTGTTAATTAATTAATCACATTCACGTACTTCTAAAAATATGATCCGTAAATATGCAATGTTGAGTATAATATGTTGAAAATTAATTAATTAATTACTTAATCACTCGACATGTTGAAAATTTATTTTCCTTTTTGGTTTTAATGGAAATTTTATCAACTTTCTCATAAAATTTGATCGATCTTGAGTATGATATCAATATGCAATGTAACTTTTTGTTTCCTTTCAAATAGTTCTACAATATAAATTATCGCATTGTACATTCGTTAATTAATCAATTTATTTTATAAAGTTAGCAAGATTAATAAATCCAATATAAAGTGGACGATTTTATTTGAGGTATTGATGATCATTTTTTATTTGGTAGAGATGTGTTGTAATTAATAAACATTCGAATTTATGGTATAAAGTGGACAATTTTATTTTGATATGAAATGTCCGAATTTAAATAGTATGAATGGAAGTGTATTTTGAAATTTTGAAAGTGGTATGAATTTTATTTTGTATGGGTATGAAAGTCAAATTGTAGATTGATTTGTTATAAAATCTATGTGATGTGATGCTCAAATTTTACCATATTCTCATTAGAACTTGCCATAAAATATTAATGGTAATTCGGCAAATTGGTATGTATTCCTCTTGAAAATCAGATAGATCTTTGAACAAATATTGGTTAATAAAATTTAAAAGTTGTAATTTGATCTAGAGAATTGATTGATAAATTTGAACAATACGGTAACTGAAAATAAATACAGAAAATTGCGGGATAATATATATATATATATATATATCTATATATATAATAAGAATTAGCATTTTAAAAAAATAGTAAGTCAAATTTTAGTCAAACTCCCATTAGCATTTATTACATGCCACTTATGGCAATTCTTTTTTTAGCTTAAATACGGGAAGCATTAAATGCTGACCTTAAAATGTGAAAATTGTTTCGGCATCATTCCATATATCTCGGTAAGTTTAAAAAGTCAATATCTTCCTATCGCATGCTATCATAAACCTACAGAATCCCATATAAATCTGAAAATTGTTTCGGCAAGCTTAAAAAAATATCATTCCGGTATGTTTAAAAAGTCAATATCATCTCATCGCATGCCATTATAAACCTACAGAATCCATCGTATAAATGTGAGGAAACTTGAAACATATGATCACTTATCTATTGTAACTGATTTTTTAAAAATAATAACTACTCCCTCTATTTTGAAATATAAGGTGTATAAAGATTTCTCAATTTTTTTGAAATATAAGGCGCGCTCAAAAATCAAGATAAATTTTTACATTTTTTTTCAAATATACCCTCATTGTGTTGAAATTAAGGAAGTGTGGAGTGGTTGTGATTAGAGTAAATAAGGTTAATTTAGTCAATTTATTCATTAATTAATGTCTCCTTAATATTTGTGCAATAACCTTAAATGCCTTATATTTCAAAATGGAGGGAGTAATAATTTAAAAAAAAAAACAAACTAATTCACTCTAATGTCTAATTACTGATATAAATCCCTTATGTATGTCTATTACTAATATAAATTCCTGATTTGTGGTAAGATTTTTTTTCTAAAATTTTCACTATCTAATTACTAATATTTTTTCAAATATTGTTACCACTTTAAATTTTATGTTCTCCTGTACAAGCTAATTTTTTATGGTGTATAATAAACTGATATAGGGTAAATTATATCACATGCTAACCTCACATGTTTAATTTATAATTATTATTCAATATTGTTTACCCTCATATTTAATTTATAATATTTTTTTTCTTGCTCTTCTAAACGAGGATCAACAGTGATTCCTTATTTATAATCAATATTTAATATTTTCACCCGTGCATAGTTTTGGTTAACGACTCGAGCTCGGCTCGAAAATATAACTTTTATATAATTTTCTATAGCTCGACTCGTTAAGACGCGAACTCAGCTCGTTATTAGTGATAAACGAGTCGAGCTGGAGCTTGATTTCAGACTCGTTTATTTAACGAGCCGAGCTCGACTCAACTTGTTTGACAAATGAGACAAGCTCGAGTTTGTTTTAAATTCGTTAAGTTAAAGAGCCGAGTCAAGCTAGAAAATGAAAATAATTTTGAAGTGTTTGATTGGCTAATATTGATAAACTATGGATCTTAAGCTGGGTTCGTTAAAGATCAGCCCTAGGCCCAATAACTGGGCCTAAAGGATTTTGTAGCCCATTCGTACTAATACATTGATCAATCAAGGAATGGGCTCGTTCCTTTTGGCCTACTGAAATCCTTGGCACGTCGTTGGTATCTTCTGGTCACAAATATAATAAAACCTCCATAAAAAATTGGAGCGAGTTTTTTCGTACCCAATCCCGCTCACAGGCGACCGACTTCCGACGACGAGCAGCTCAATGCCCTACTCTCTCTCTCATTCCGTAAACGCTTCAATTTTCGGCAGTCTTTGAAATCTAGTTGCGTTGCTTTAGAAACATAGGTTTTCTGTATTTCCTTGTTGTTCCTTTGATTTTCCGAGGAAGGCGATGGTGGGGGTAGTGGCGGCTGCATCACGAGAGAGAATCGCGAGACGAATACATACATTAAAGCACGTCTCCGCTGCCGCCGCAGACGTTTCGTTGAAGCTCGGCCAACTGCGGAGGCTCCGGGAGGAGCTCGCGACCGTTAACTCTGTGCTGCTCGTGGAGTTCCTCGCTCCTATCCTTGACCTCTTATCAGACGGTTTGAGCCCTGTTCGCAAATTGGTTACTCAGTAAGCGCCTCTGACAACGTATTCCATGCTTTTTTTTTTTAATTAACTAGTGGCTAGGCTAATCAATGTTGTTTGATTTGACTTATAATATAACTATAACTATATTCCGGAATTTATTGTTTCAGCTGCAACTTCTGTGATTTTTAATCTTGGGGATTATGAGATGAGATCTAGAATGACTCCATCTGATATGGATTTTTGATCCACATGACTCAGAATCGAACTCAAAGTAGTGTCTCAGGACATATATGAAATATTTAGATTCAAATATGTTTATTCTCTCTTGCTAGTTTTCTTGTAGTACGGAAATATATCCTGTTTGAGTTTGTATTGGATGATCATTTCAGATGGCTATTTGTTGATTGTGATGAGTGCAACAATTTTCTAGTCAACAGAGAATTGTGATTCATTACCATTTTATGATTTCTCCTTTAGTTCAAGGTGTTGGTAGTGTTTACAACGAATTTAGTTATGTTCTCTAGTTATGGTGGTTTCTGTATTCAGCTTCTGATTTCTGCTAGTTCAATGTAGTGGAGCAAAAAACTCAAAGATGGGTGTAGTTGGGTATTAATGTTCACCATTTACACCTTGTGATGGTACATTAATGTAGGATTGTCGGTGAAATTGGTCTGAAGCACTTGGAGTTGTTACCTGAAATTGTTCCGGCACTATTAAATGTTTTGAAAGACGACACACCCGCTGTTGCTCGACAGGCCATTTCATGTGGTATCGATATATTTCGTTGTTCTCTGGTCACACTTGCGATCCAGGTTGGTTATGATATTAAATCTCTAACACACTATTATTTTCTTGTAATTATTTTTCGTGGCTGCAAAATGGCTAGAGATTTATGGTAGGAGTGATTCTTTGTTGTTCGTTTCTTACTGCACGAGTGATGTTAATTTTTTTATTTCATGTAGCACCAAGTTTCTTAGTTTTATTGCAAATTTAGGAGAGGTTGTTCTTTGTTTATGAGTAACTCAAATTCTAGTGCAAGCTTTGAATTAGGTCAAACTTGCGATGTTGCTCATAGAAAGTTTGGTTTGGTTGGGATTATGGCTATCTCACTTGAAAATTTAAAGAGGAAGTCACCCCAATGTGCATCTTTGGAGTCTGGACCTTGAAATTTGATCTTATGATCATTATAGGTGGAATAAAAATGGTTTAGGAAATATATCTTTACTCGAATGGTGGTAGCCTTAAACTAAACTTATGGTGCTTGTTGATTGAAAGATACCAAAACATAATCAGGAAGATTCAAAAAGAAGGAATTTGGATTAGAGTGGGCTGCAAAGGTGGTTATGGTGTGCATTGTAGTGGTAAATTAATGTGGCATAAGCAGTTTGATTTGTCGCTACCCCAGCCTTCCCTTTTGCATTTGAATGATTAACGTAACTGCAGATTAATCTTGGATGAAAAGCCTCCGTGACTATATAATGTTATATATTACCAGGGCTTATACTCTAGTGAATTCAATGAATCAACAAGATCAGCATGGGCAAGTGCGCTAAAGTTTAGAGATGAAATATATTCAATGGCATCAAAGGTAAGTATCACTTTAACATAAGAGTGAATTGTTTCTGGTCATTGTTTGACTTTAAACACGTGTTAAGGTGGGAAATGATGGGAGAAGGTTGCCAGCATTGAAGTTTGTAGAATCAGTTGTGCTACTGTATACGCCTGATCCTAATGGATCCTTGGAGCCACCTCCTGATCAGATCTCTGAAGGTAACTGTGTTTCTGTATCATATGAGGCCCAGGATTTTTGAAAACTAAGGCTCTTTAGAGACTTTAGTAGTTTATTGATAAACCAAGGCATGTATATTGTGCAATATATATACATGTGTATGAGCTGTTTATATTTCCTGAAGGGAAGTTTGATGAATTCAACGTGTCATGGCTTCGTGGTGGCCATCCTATGCTCAATGTTAGAGATTTATCAGCTGAAGCAAGCAAAAGCTTGGGATTACTGCTCGATCAGCTTAGATTTCCATCTCTGAAGTCACATAGTTATTTGATGATTGTTGTACTTATTAAAAGGTATGTTATCTCTCATTAACACGTAAATCCCATTACATCTCTTACTTTAATTGGTATCCATTATTTTGTTTTTCTAGCCTATCGGCAGTAGCAACAAAGAGGCCTGCTTTTTATGGTCGTATACTGCCAGTTTTACTTGGACTGGATCCATCAAACTCTGTTGGAAAAGGCATGCATCTAGCGGGGGTGCATCATGCACTGAAAAATGCTTTTGAATCTTGCTTAAATTGTTCGCACCCTGGTGCTGCACCGGTAAGGTTGTTTTATGTTATTCGCATTTCTAATATCAGTTGCACTCGTGTGTTTCTCAGCCACGATTTGGCTTTTGTTATGTCTCAAAGTCACCTGTTTACTTTCTTTCCCTTTTTCTTTTTCCTAATTCTCTTACGTTATCATGCATCTGCTATTCAAATGCTATATATATATTTGCACTTCTTAACTCTCTGTGTGTGTGTGTGTGTGTGTTTATTAATAACGTGAGAGGACTTTGCTACTTTGTTCTACAACTATTTATCTGCCTATTTACTTTCAACGTTAAGAATATTTATTGATACATTCACCAATCAGCTCAATTTGGACTCTATGGTTTTATATGTATTTTGTACTTTTCAGTGGAGGGAACGACTTGTTAGTGCACTGAATGAAATTAAAATTGGGAGGCCAACTGAACCGGTTGCAAATGAATTTCCAGAGAACTTTGGAAAAACAGATTTGACAAGTGATTCACACGTGAGTCAATTTACATGCATATTTTACTTTTTCTTTCCTTCAACTGTGTGTGATTTTAAAGACTGCCTAAGAAGCTAAACAGTTCCAGCAATCCTATGAACTTCTTACAGGAGGAAAAGCCTGCTACGGTAATGGTGATGGAAAATAGCACCGGTAGTAGGAAAAGAGCTGCAGCAGTGCTGTCCACATCAGAGTTCACTGAGGATGACATGGTCAGGAAACGTGGACGATCAACACCTGACAACTCAGGAAGCAAGGGCAACGTAACGAGTGAGGGACTGGAAAGGGCCCACGCTCCATCTAGTTCAGACGTTGATAATGGACCTGTACAGCAGCTTGTGGCAATGTTTGGTGCCTTGGTTGCTCAGGGTGAGAAAGCAGTTGCTTCCTTGGAGATTCTCATTTCAAGCATATCAGCTGACTTGTTAGCTGAAGTAGTTATGGCTAACATGCGGAATCTCCCTGTGAGAAGCCCTAAATCCGAGGAGGATGAAGAGTTTCTTGACGATATGGCTGATCATCCTGACACGATTGGAAGTGATACTCACATCAAACATTTGTCTTTGCTTCTTACGGACATACTTTCACAGTCTAAGTCTTCTCCAATGGAAGTAACTGGAACCAAGGATTTGCGTCATTCAGTATCCAATGATCTTGAGGCATGTGCTGTTTCTTACTTAAGCATAACTTTTTGGTGCTTTATGTTATCTGTAGGATAGTAATTATTCTTTTTTAGTTTCCTTATCTGAACTCGTATGCAATAGGCTTAACCGTGGCTTCTATTTGTTGTTGGTTTGATTCGTATTGCAGCAAACTCAAGAAGAGGAGGAACCTAAGTTGATGTCAGTTGATGATAATGCAGCATATGATGACATGAGTTATGCAAGTCTACAAGCAACAGCTCCTATCACTGACTCGGTTTTTCCTGAAGACAATCCATCCGAGGTGCAGATAGGTTTTACAGTAACTACATCCGAGGTCAATGATGATGGTTTGGAAAATGAAATTCCTGGACTTGCTTCGTCCTCTCAGGATGAAAGAATGCCTGAATATGCAGCTGATTCTTCAAAGGACTTGGCTGAGTTAGATGATTCGAATCAAGAGAAATTCACTAATGCAGTTGGTTCATTGGTAGAATCGGATAGGATATCAGTAGAGTTAGCTAATTCGATTTCTGTGGATAAGTCTGAGGAGCTTAGCCCTAAAGAAGCTGTAATGGATACAAACAGCATGAATTCCTCAACTGCAACTTCTGTTGGATTGATTTCACAGTTGGTTCTACCTAAGTTATCTGCTCCTGTCATCCACCTTGCTGATGAACAAAAGGATAAGTTACAAGAACTGGCTTTTGTGCGGATAATTGATGCATACAAGCAAGTCCCTGCGTCCGGTGGATCTGAACTCCGTTTTTCGATACTTGCCCATTCGGGATCGGAGGTAAACATATTAGGCCATATGACCTTGTGTATAATTATGGTTGCAAAATGCTTCTATGATTTCTTCTACGTCCTTTCTTCCTTTTTTTCTCATTCCTCCATCCCCCCCAACCCCCCCAATGCAGTTTCCGTCTGAGCTAGACCCGTGGAAGTTACTGAAAGCACATATATTGTCAGACTATGTAAATCGCGAGGTAAATGAATGCATGAATTCCTAAGAGTTGTGAGGTGGTGGTGTTTTTTTAAAAAAAAAATATCCCGATCAGTTTATATTTCATGAGTCTGATTGTCAACCATTTGAATTTGTGTTGATAAACTCAGGATACTTGCCTTACTTGTTAACTGTAAGACTTGTAATGTTATTTGGTGCAGGAGGGCAGTTGTATTACATTTTCGTTATGTCATCTCTAGCTGTTTCTTCTTATATAGGATAAAGGAAATTAAAAAAAGTATATATAAGATTATTGTAGTTTATAAATGTGTGTATATATACATTACAAACATAACTCAGATAACTAATATATAAAAGCAAAAGATGATTATTGGAGATTGATGAGAATAGTCAAAATCAATTATAGGAAGTAATGATATATGAGTTAAAATATCATAAAATCACCCAGAGTCTAGATAATAATTATATAATAATATAATGTAATATATATACACACAAATATATAGAATGTTAATTCTTTCGTTCTATACTTTTTTAAAGGAATGATTGAGAATTGTAATTATTTATTAAAAATTATTTAAGAAATACAGGGTTGCTTATGTGTTAGCCGAAGTATGAGAGGTTGATGCATAAGGACCCAAAGGATCACATAGGCTAGGAGGATTTTTCTCTGGTATAATGGGTTTGATTCTCTTGCCTTTCAACATCTTAATGCATCGGCATTATAGTCATATATTTCTGAAGTAAGGCGTTAGTTGTATTGATTTGCCTTTTCTAGTTCAGTTCTACACATACATCGTTCCCTTTTCTATTATTCTTTATCATTCTTGTCCATTACAATCTCACCTATTCATTTTACTCCTCTTCCCTATCTTGTATTCTGTGTGAGTATCTTTCTGCTTATGACTTCGTAAATCCAATGATTCTCTATGATGTGGCTGATTAGTGTATGTCTTCAGGGGCACGAGTTAACGTTGCGCGTCCTATACAGGTTGTTTGGTGAGGCAGAAGAAGACAGTGACTTTTTCATTTCAACTACTGCGACATCTGCTTATGAGACTTTTCTTCTGCATGTGGTGTGTGTATGTGCTTCAAGTTTGTTCTCTTTAATATATATTTGTGAAAGTTCTAATCTATATATCCGACACAGGCAGAAACACTGCGGGATTCTTTTCCAGCTTCTGACAAATCTCTGAGTAGATTGCTTGGTGAAGTCCCATATTTGCCGAAGTCAATATTTGAAATGTTGGAGAGCTTGTGTACACCTGGTATGAGTGATAAAGATGGTAAGGAGTTGCACAGTGGAGATCGAGTTACCCAGGGGCTCATGGCAGTATGGAGCCTGTTGTTGATGAGACCTCCAATTCGTGATGCTTGCCTTCAAATTGCTTTGAAGGTTCCCTTGCTGAATTTCATGTCTTTTAACTTTATTAACGAGCGATGCTTGTTCTGTTTTCATCTCAATCTTTTCATCTGTTTTCGTCTCAATCTCTCTCCTATCTATGTAGCTCTCTGCTTGACTTCCATTCCATTCCAAATATAGACGAGTGCTTATGCATACATAAATGGAGTGCTGACTTTGTGCATATATATTTTACGATAGTGAACAATTTCAGCTCTTGTTGCATGATTTAAGACTAATAAATTGTTGATCTGCTTCTGATTGCCACATTTTCTGCTGTTATAAGACTCATTGACAATTTAAAGCTACCAGGAAGGGTCTGGTAGAAAAAAATTCTGGTTCATGTATATGCTTTTCAGACGAAATGTTGAACAATGTCAATATAATTCCTGGCTGTGAACTCAATGTTTGATATTCATTCTTAGAAATCGAATTTTTTCTTTTTTAGAATTGAAAAATTCAAAGTTTGAGCATGATAAAAGATGGGGTAATAACTTAGACTCGTTCTGGTTATTAGTGAGGTAAATTGTAATTTCATATAAATTTGTCTTTTTTTTAGTTGAAATAACTTTCATTGGCTAAATTTTATTGATTGGAAAGTATGGTTTTTTTTGCCCTTTTATATTTTAATTTTCTTTAATTTTAACCAATTTGACTTTTATGTTTTTATTTATTTAATAGAGCTCTGTTCATCACTTGGAAGAAGTGCGGATGAAGGCCATACGCCTGGTATAACTTCCCTTTGTTTTTCACTGTATCATTTTGAAACATTTATGTTTATCTCTTTTTGATATTTAATACACTTATAGGTGGCGAATAAGCTCTATCCTTTGACATTTATTTCTGAAGAAATTGAAAAGTTTGCAAAGGAAAAGTTACTATCAGTTGTCATGGATGATCAAACATCAAAAATAGAGGCTGATGAACCCCATGCTGAACTACAGATGGTATCTATCCAATCCATTCTGATAAAAAATAATTCTTCATGTTTCCTCTGGTTCAAATATCTGAATATGTGAATTATATAATACTTTCTGTACTGGCTATTGAACAGAAGAGAAGTAACTGTCTTATGATTTTTTTAAGCTATGGTTACAGGAATACAAATTATGAAGTGAATTACTCGATGTTAAAGTATAAGAACACATGAGAGAAATTTTGCCTATTAAAAAAAAAAACGTCTATTTCCCAGCAAGAGCATGATGAAAGGAGAAAATCATATGATTCAGATGGGTCAATAAAATTTCTACTTAATACTTACGCTGCATATGACACCACTAATGCTTCCTGCATTATTCATCCTAGAACTATTCATCTATTAGACCTTTGGCACACAAATCTGTCTCATTGAGATTTGAACTTTCTTTTCCTCTAGGACCAAAATCCGTCTAGTGAAAGTCAGACAGTGACTTTGGCTGCTAATGAGACTAACCCTGATGGTCATCAGTCCACAACATCTGAAAGCACTTCATCAATAGCCGTGGCTGAGGTGCAACGTTGCATGTCACTGTACTTTGCATTGTGCACGAAGGTATATTTGTTCCTTTTCTGTTGCTTTACCTGATTATGATGCTGCGCACATTATATTTCAATCTAACAGGAATTTTGTTTGATTAACAGAAGCATTCCCTTTTCCGGGTAATATTTGATGTTTATAAAGGCACATCACAAGTAGCAAAGGAGGTTAGATGCAGTCACTTAACCGTCATATTAACAAAAAAACTGCATGAATGTCAAATCTTGCCATTGGGGTGATGACTTTATTGTGGTGCAGGCAGTTCATCGTCAAATCCCCTTACTTGTTCGAACTATTGGCCCATCCCGTGATCTACTTGATCTACTATCAGACCCACCAAGTGGAAGTGATGGGCTTGTAACTCAGGTCTTGATTTTTATATATACTTCTAATGTCTGGCTTGTGTTGAGTATCTATGGGTTTGTTTATGAGTGCTTGTCTGCTGCAGGTTGTGCATACACTGACGGATGGAACTGTTCCTTCCCCAGTGTTAGTATCCACAATTAAGAGATTGTATGATACAAAGATAAAGGTGACTCTGATACTCTCCTGTATTGTGTTCATTATCTCAACCCATCCTAGTTTTTCTGTTTTAGTCTCCTTTCTAAAGGTCTGACTCGAAAGATTTTAGATATTAGTGATATATACACTTAGTTAAACAATTGTGAGTTGGTTGCAAAATTTTATTATGCCTTGACTATCTATGTTCACATGACCACCTTTTGTTGCCTTCTTTTGTTGATTGTTCCTAATTTTTGTTTCTCCTCTTTTCAGGACGTGGATGTTCTGTTTCCAATATTACCATTCCTGTCAAGAGATGAGGTCAAATTATTCAATAACTTATTTGAATTGACCTTCATTTCATCCTGCACTTTGAATCTAACTACTGCCAGTACACGTTTTTTTGTTATGTTGTAATTAGGCGGATATTCATCTTGATCATATATTTATGTGTTCTTCCTTGTTCTTATTCCTAACCTAAACATATTTTCTGCTGTTTGTCAGGTGTTACTTCTTTTTCCACGTCTTGTGAGTGCACCGCTAGATAAATTTCAAGTTGCGCTTTCTCGTGTTCTCCAGGTATGTAACAATTAGTGTATCTTCACCAGGGAAGGATATTGAGGTGCATGGAGTCTGATTTACTTCGCATGGAACCAATGCATAAACAGTTCAATTGTTATTTTGCAAAAGTCTACTGTCTGTTAAGCATTACCTGCTTACGCTATGCTGTCTATTGATTTATTTCCTTGAATTGTTAGCTTCCAATTATGGATGTGTTCTGAAGCAACATACTGAGGTGTTACTATTTTATGTTTGACCATTGCACCGATTTTTCTGAACCATTGTCGCATGCATAAAATGAGCCATGATCCGAAAACAAACCAAAAGAACGAAAAGAAAAAAAAAATAAACTACATAATTTATATATATAAGGCAAAATTGCCCTTAATATCACGATTCGAAATTGCAATTTAATCGCGACCTTTTCACTTTTGCAAATTATATCACAATCTCCAGTTTGTTGCAAATCGGTGCACCGATTTGCAGAACCCGTGCAAATTATATGACAATCTTCACCTTGTTCGTCGGCCACATCATCTTTTCTAGGGCTGGTTTACAGAACCCGTGCACCGATTTGCAACAAACTGAAGATTATGATATAATTTGGAGAAGTGAAAAAATCATGATTAATTGTAATTTCGAAGGAGGTCGTGATATTAGGGGCAAATTTTGCGTAAATATAATCAGGAATGTTCTTGTTTTTGTATTATGGTATCTAACTGTGTATAAAATGTTATTTTACAGGGGTTTAACAACTCTACTCCGGTGCTGACTCCAGCTGAAGCATTAATTGCCATCCATGGGATTGATCCTGAGAGAGATGGAATTCCCTTGAAAAAGGCAATAATCATTATTCCTATGTAGCTTAAATTATTCTGGATTAAGTTATTAACAGAAGGTGTTTTATTTATATAAGCAGGTCACAGATGCCTGCAATGCTTGTTTTGAGCAGCCACAAATATTTACTCAACAAGTTCTTGCCAAGGTCTTGAATCAATTGGTGAGAATAACTTTTTGTAACTTGTAACTGTTTTAATCTTTAATTAACATCTTTATATTTAAGAACATTGTGCGGTTTTGCAGGTTGAGCAAATTCCCCTTCCTATGTTATTTATGCGTACAGTATTGCAGGCTATAGGGGCTTTTCCTTCTCTGGTAAGACATCAGCCTGCCAAATACCTTGATTGAGTTTTTTCTATTCCACAAACATTGCATGAAGTACCTGATTTTTTTTTCTTTTTTACTTAATAAAGAGGATCAATAGTGTTTCCCCACTTACCCCCTCTGTGACTCAAACTCGAGACTTATTTGCATGAGTACCAGTTCTCTAGAAGTAATTGTGCATTAAATATTAGATCTGTGCTGTGGAGTTTTATATATGTTAATGCTAGTGTAGAAGAAGTGCATTGATCATAATACTTTCACTACCATGTCTTGACATTTCTAGATAACATTTTTTCAGGTGGAATTTATAATGGAGATTCTTTCTCGTCTAGTAAGCAAGCAGGTAATATTATTCACTAGAGATTGATATTTTCACTCATCTTGTCTAGCACATATCGTTATGCAATGTGTGTGAATGCAGATTTGGAAATACCCTAAGCTATGGGTGGGATTCGTGAAGTGTGCTCTTTTGACGAAGCCACAGTCTTTCAGTGTTCTTCTTCAGGTGTGTTTTTTGCCTTGCTGTCGATCATAAATGTTCTTTCAATGGCCAAATATGTTAAAAATAAGTTTTCATTCAACATGATGCGAAACTTGATGTAATGTTATTTGTGTGTGGCGTATACATGAAATAGGCATTTTTAATCTTTGTACTCTACTCTATGTATCTGCTACATTCTGTTGATTTACTGGGGACTGTCACTAAGTACATATTTGTAATCACTGCATGCTTTGCCGCTATAATTCAATGAATTTAACAAACATATTTGGATACATGAAAAAAAGTTCTATAGCTATTTAACTACGGCAATATATTTTTTATAATTTCTAGTAATGCTAACCTTTTGTCATATTATTTTTGCAGTTGCCTACAGCACAGCTTGAAAATGCACTGAATCGGACACCTGCTCTCAAGGCTTCCTTAACTGTCCACGCAAGCCAACCGAACATAAGATCTTCCCTTCCAAGGTTGTCTTCATCATATAAAAGGCAACATTGCATTTTTAGTCCTGCTCATTTAACGCCATAGCAATTTTAGGTCATGTGATTTAATATTTTGCTCCAAAATTCCCAAATTTTCGATCAATTTAAGTCATGTAATTTAAAAGGACTGAAATTGCAGCAAAATATTAAATCACAGGACCAAAATTGCTATGACGTTAAACCAACAAGACTAAAAATGCATTTTTGCCTCATAAAATAAAGTGTCTGTCCCCCCAGATTTTTGTTGTTCCCTATAGTTAAATGAATGTTATTTTCAGGTCTACGCAAATGGTTCTTGGTCTTGTGTCCGAGCCACAAACATCCGCTCAAACACAACAGCCAACTCAAACTCAAATTGAGGCCGGTGACTCGGAAAAAGAAGCAGTTACGGAAAAGTCGAAAGAATCATCTAGCACCGCCAGTTGATCCGAATAGTCAAGGCCGTTCATTATTATGGTATTTATTTATTCATATATTTCCACCCTCTTGATTAAATTCCCAAAAAATGCATGAATAAAATATTTTGTTGGCTTCAATCTATTTCCTTACAATTTTCTTCCCATCTTTCAGATTGCACACGGGATGAAAGGAACTGATGACGAGTACACCAGTATGATTTATGTATGAACTAAATCGAAATACTTTGATGTAATTTGTTTGCCATTGATTAAATTAGTGCTTACAACCGGCTTGACGTTGGTTACATTTGTCAAGATTACTTGTTGGCCTTTTGTTTCAGCAAATGTACAACGAAATAGAGACATGGAGAGGAAAATGAAATTGACTAATTGCAGTTTGAAAATGATCAGGTAAGTGTAACAAGTGAATTACTGATTTTTGAAACACGTTTAAATATATTTATCTAGTTAATTGTATCATTAACCAATTCAAAATTACACAGTAGTATATTTATATCAAACTAAATATTCCTTATACCGACTTCTAAATTAAAAAAGCACAATCCACACACTTTGAAGTCACACTTAGTTTGATTGAATTTTGAATATTTATTTAAGTCACACTTTGAAGTGAAGCATCCAAAAGACGATATCTTAAATTCAAAAACTTCAATTCACTTGAACAACTAGTTACATATGATGAAAAGTCATAACTCAAATCTCGATCTGACCGGAAGAATGAAGTCAAAGGAAGATAAATTACATCCCAATAAACATTGATTTAGAAACGGTCAGGACGCCTCTGTACAATAATATGTGATGTTGAGAGTGTTGTCACCATTATATGCTTTTAAGTTCAAGTTATGTTTCCTTCCGCTGTTTCCGGTTTAGGCAGTTGATAATGAAAGGGTTTGGTTTAAAAGCTTTTAGGCATCCGCATTTGTTAATTTTTTTCCCATTCATTCAATCAAAAAAGTACACTCTCTCTCTTCCACATCATTTCCAAATCACCTTTACACTAATTCTCTCTCCATTTAAACACACACCCACATCCCTACACATTCATTTAAATACAAATATGGGACCCATTATATCCATTCATTCAATATAAATTTTAATATTCTATTCTTAATAAAAATATAAAATTAATAGTTTTAAATTATAATAATAAATTTTAAATACATGAAAATAAAAGCACACTACAATACCAAAATAACTTAAATTAAGATTACACAAGAAAAAAATAATACAATTACAAAATATAACTTTTTAGTGGCTAAAATGGGTCCAAATATGCTCAACTAAATCGGCACGAAGTTGATGATGAACGGTGTTATCTCGTATCTCTAAACTTCTACGGATATAATTTTGAAATTCTCGATTTGAACCCTGGACGGGTTGTGCGGGCTCTTCATCCTCGTCATTGTGCCAATTTGTTACTACAACTCCTTCATTTTTAACAATCATATTGTGTAAAATAATGCATGTCAACATAACAAATTTTAGTTTTCTTCTATACCAAAATCGAGCAGGACCTCTTACAATTGCCCATCGAGATTGAAGCACCCCAAATGCTCTTTCCACATCCTTTCGAGCAGCTTCTTGTTTTTCTTTAAATAACTTTCTTTTAGGATCTGACGGGCAAGGATAAGGAGCTTGTGAAAATGATAAATTTGGCGGAGTTTGTGAATTTTGGAATAATGGAAATTCATCAGGATTGTTAGTATTAGAATTTGAGAAATTTTGAAAGTTTTGCCTATTATTGGAATCCATTTTTTCTTTTCAGAAATGAAAGTTGCTAAATTTGTGGTGTAGAAGAAATGTAACAATGAGATATATTTATAGGCAAAAATGATGATAGAAAGTATATATATATAAAAAAAAAAAAAAACTCAACGGATAGAATGTAAAAAAGACTAAACGGATACAAAAACAATTTAATCAAAAGTAAACAAAAAAGAATAAAAAAGATTTGGATAGAGCCGTTGCAAAAGAAAAAAAAGAAAAAGGAAAAAAAAATACAAAAAAAGTTTGGAAATAGCTGTTGAAGAGAGAAAAACAAAAAAATACAATAAAAAATGTTGCAAATAGCCGTTCAATGTGCTGAACGGCAGTGGTGGGCCAGCTAATTTTCACCATCAAATGAATGGACTCCCATCGGTTGAACATTAACTATGCATTTAAATGGATGGATTTAATGAACCAATGCGTTAATAGTACATGGAATGATCAATGTCGGTTCTTAAGTGTCTGAAAGAATGGACTTAAAAGTTGCTTCTATTAAGTAATGAATCAATGCAACACAATGATATATAAAAATATTTTTTTGATATCTCTATGTGTAAGAGAGACTGCAGCCAATTTTTATTACTGAATCGCTAAATACCGTCCCTTTATTACTACTTGCCGCCCTCACAAAATACTATTTTGCCCTTTCATTAAAAAAAAAAAGAAAAAAAAAAACGAAAAAGATTTTTAAATAAGTCAAAAGAAGAAAACAAACGAGAGAGATTTTGAGATAAGTCTCGAAAGTCGAAACCCCACCTCCTTCCCCATCATTAAACCTGCTATCTCTCTCTCAACTCACATCAACTCATTTTCATTGACATAATCTCGTCCACGGCATGGCCACCAGATGAGCATAATATGCCGGTGGCACTGTACAAGTATACTCCCCATCATTAAACCTGCTATCTCTCTCTCAACTCACATCAACTCATTTTCATTGACATAATTTCGTCCACGGCATGGCCACCAGATGAGCATAATATGCCGGTGGCACTGTACAAGTATACCAAATCAAAACTACAATCTAGTAAAAGGTCAAAATAGAAAAAATAAAGGAATCTAAAAACAAGGTTTAAGCATGCATAAACAACAACTATTAACAAACACATCTAATTGGAAACAAAGGAATTTGTGATATATATTATAAATTTCATAAGTATTTACTTATGGAGACTGAACGGGTGTATTTCGCATATGTGAGAGAAAAGGAGATACCATTTTTATACGGATATTTATAGAAATTAAGGTTGGCCGACCGATTTGGACGGAAGAGAAATAACACTTATAGCACAACCACATCTGCATCCCGAAACCATTCTGGTCGATCAACACAACACATGGTAGTGGAGGGTGAATTATATTTAGTAGGTGTGTGTTTGTAATTTGTGTTTTGTTCTATTGGTTATTCTTCATTAAGTGGAATTGTTAGTCCTTGGAGTTTTTGAGTCTCCCTTTATGGGAGTTTTGTATTTGTGTTTTTCTTTTCAGTTTGCGGCTGCGTGTGCAGTTCTCATAGAATCAGCTTGTATAGTTGTTTGATTCCTATATTAATTTTGTTCTCTAGTAATTATCTCATNAGAATTAATAGCATTGTTTTTGGTACTTTTTGGTTATATATAATAATTATTACCAATATTAACTAATTGTAAATTCACTCCAAAGTTCTATAGAAGTTACACACTTACACCAAAAACTATAGCAAAATATTTTCTTCAAGTTATTTATTTTAAAATGCATTTTATTTTTATCTCCTTTTATAGTACTAATTCATATATAATAAAAATAATTTAAAACTCTATTGTTCAGTATCAAGTTATAAAATGTGATCTGCATATTACACAACTTATAATTATAAATACAATATTCATACATACAACTTATATATTTTAGCACATGATTTGAGTACTAGGACTCAATAAAATTCAGATATTATTAAGAAATTTCATGATGTTAATGTATTTATGAATATATTTATTTTGTTTGGAATTCCAGGTAGGAAAAGCAGAATATCTCTCCGAAGAACCAAACGACGTCGTTATGCCCTGACTTTTTCTACAGTTTCTGTATTTCTCATTCTCAATCTACATGCACACTCAACTCCCCGTAAATCCTCAGATCTCACAGCTCTCAAGCTGCAATGGCGTCGGTTTCCTCGGGACCCCGCACGGTAGAGGAGATCTACAAGGATTACAGCGCTCGCCGTATTGGAATTGTCCGCGCCTTGACTTATGGTACTTTGTGCTCAACATTCTGTACATCGATGAGAATGAATTGTGATTTTTTTTTTTTTTTTTTTTGCCTTTTTTATTTGGAGCACAAATCTATTTTGTTAGTAGTAATTTTCATTTTCTATGTTCTCAGATGTGGACGAATTTTATGGACTCTGTGATCCAGGTAAATTTTGTTTGAAGTCCACGGATTTAGCTTCGTTTTACTTTGTCATCGTGGAGCTCGGGTTATTTGCTCTGTGCGCGTGAGGGTTATTTAGCTTGATTTTCAGTTAATCTGCAAAAATTGGAAGAGTGCAAAGCTGCAAGCTTTGCAATTGTTTCATTTTGAAGCGGCTAATAGAATCATGATTTTGTTTGAAAAAGTAATTTTTTGTTCTCTATTTAGTTGGATTTCAAGTGTTTATGGCAATATATTTTTACAATTCAAGATTTTAATTGACATGAAGGTATGTGTAGCTATGTTTTGAATAACGAGTAAAGTAACTGAAGGGAATTTTGTAGCCTTCAGCAATTTAACTGCTTTGAATTGATCAATGAGGAGTGCATCTGTTTTCCTAACCCAATTTCCCAAATTATCTACTGTGTGAGGTGGGTCAACCCATCATACGTTTTTAACAAAAATGCATACTTATGCAATAAAATGTCTTACTTTTTGTTTATGTTGTTTTTTAGACTGACATTTCTATTTAAAAGTATGCAAATTTGTTGATAAAGTATGGCTGCTGAACTGAACTGTTAGCCTTGCTCATCAGTAGCAGCTAGTGACCCAATGTTTGTTATGTGTGTTAGTAACGTTCTATTTTATGGTACTTATTCGTTCTTGTTATCCTCAAATTTCAATTTAATTTGCATTTAGTTACTAATACGGCTGAAGTTAGTTTCTTGACAATTGGAAAATGAAATTTAGCTGCTGATTACCTGCACTAGATTTTTTTCTTCACCCAACATAAGTGATAAAAACACATTGAGTTCCCAAAGTTATATGTTTGTGATTGAAGTTGTTTCAAAAGTTTATTTCTTTGATTTTCATGATATATTTCTTGTTTTATTACTTGTAGAGAAGGAAAACTTGTGTCTGTATGGACACCCAAATGAGACTTGGGAAGTTAATCTTCCAGCGGAGGAAGTTCCGCCTGAGCTCCCAGAGCCAGCCCTCGGAATCAATTTTGCAAGGGATGGAATGAATAGAAGAGACTGGCTTTCCCTAATTGCTGTGCACAGTGATTGTTGGTTGCTCTCCGTGGCTTTCTACCTTGGAGCTAGGCTAAACCGCAACGAAAGGTATGCATATGGTTTCTGTATGTATGTATATATATATATATACATATTCCTGTGATCTGTGATGATTAGTTCTTCTAATGTATTTTTGCATGAACTGGATACTGCTTTAAAAATTGTGCTTGTTTTATATCCTGAATTGATTCTGTACATGATGATGTTTCTGTCATATGCTGAAGTCATACAGCCATTTGTTGTTATCGAGTATTGCATTTTTCTTCTTCGTTAATTAAACAAAGACAAAATTATGAAATGACACACTTGAAATAATTCGACCAGATTAATAATACACGAACTTTCATGTTTTCACGAGGTTTGAAATGGGTGAATCGGGCGGCGTAATTGTTAAGTTTTTAGTTCTAAGAAAAAATAAAATTTGTTAAGCTTTGTGTGTGAACCTGGGATAAGCTACCTACAAAATTCAGTTGATTCATTTCCAGGACCTGTAATCATCATCTTGATGCTTTCATTCTTGTGACCTGTGCTCTTTGAAGCTGGTATCACAGCAATCATATGCTCTTCACATCAAACCGCTCTTTTGCTTCTAATAAATTATCAAAAAATCTGTGTTGTAAAGGGATATTGAGCATGCATGATAAAGGATAGTTTGAACAATGTGTGTTGTGAATGAGCCTTGAATTGTAAGCTAAAGTTTACTCTCGAGGAAATCAAAATTTTTTTGTATGTGCCACTCCACGCCTGTTCCTTTAAGAAGTGTGCCTAATGCAGACTTAGAAATCTTTTATGGCCCTATCATTTTACATTTATAAATAACAATTGGTTCTTTTGTTTTTGTTAAACATCGAAACCATAGGTGCAACTATTTGTTACGTCAGTTCGCCATATCTCCAGAAAACATTTCTGATTTCACTTTACTTTCAGTCTGAAGTTAAGAATGTACACTAATGAATCTGGCCGTGGAAACATTTTTCTGTTCAACTCTTTAAATTTGATTGTCACCGAATGTTATTAAGTAATTAGGAGGTACACATGCCTGATATATCTGGTTTTTTATTTATTTATTTATTTATTTTTTTCTCCACTAGGCTATGTTTGGAATTCAGGATGATTATGCAATCTTGAGCACTTTAATTGTCTTTGGAAATAGGGTTCTATATTTGGTTATGTATCTGTTAAGCGATTAATGTCTGAGTAACTGTTTTTTGTTTCGACTTCTTCCACTTTATGACCTTAGTAATGCCTTAATAAAGAGGCCTATTGCTGGTGAGAACCCCCAAACAGCCCCAAGTATATGAGAAAAAAAAAAAAAAAAAANAAAAAAAAAAAAAAAAGGAAACTATTGGATCAAGCAGCTATGCATTGATTTATTTTAATACGATTTGTTTTTCTGGTTGTACATAATTTAGTCACTGTACTTGCAGGAAGCGCCTTTTCAGCTTGATGAATGAACTCCCTACAGTCTTTGAGGTCGTGACTGAAAGGAAGCCCATGAAAGACAAGCCCAATGCTGACAGTGGAAGTAAATCCCGCATGGCCACAAAGGTCACTATTGGCTTCTAACTTTCGTCAAAACTTACGACATTTTTAAATGCAAAACTCATTTTACTCTTTTACTTGTAACGAAGGTTCTCGTCCGAGAAAAGGCTAAATTGCAGTTTTAGTCCTGTTGGTTTAACGCCATAGCAATTTTAGTCTCAAGATTCTAACATTTCGTCTTTTGGTCCTGTGATTTAATGTTTTGCTGCGATTTTTTAGTCCTCAAATGACTGAAATTGCAACAAATTCGCAAATTTGTAGTTTTTTTTTATTAGCAATTTAAGTCCTATAATTAAAAATTTTTGTTGCAATTTTTCAGTTTGTAATTTAAAATTTTGATGAAATTTTAGTCTTTCGAGGGCTGAAATTGCAGCAAAAATATTTGATCACAGGATCAAAAAGGCGAAAAGTTAGAACCTTGGGACTAAAATTGCTACGTCGTTAAACCAACAGGACTAAAAATGCATTTTTACATTTTTGCCTCCGAGAAAATCAGAGAAGACTGCCGTGATTATGACATACCAAATAATTATCTTTGAGTATTGAATACAACACTGCCGTGAGTGTTGTAATATCCTTACAATTACACACACCCCACATATCATTTTATATTGAAATTCTGATAGCAGTTTGTTTTGTTTCGTTCGTTTCGTTACTTTCATTTTAATTAAACATGAGGTCAGGTGTATTTATTTATTTATTTGTATTTATTTATTTTCCGTACTCTAAGACCTCTCTAAACTAAAACAAACTCGAATTATGATCTATCATTTTCCAGAGATCGAACGATGGTCAGGCTAAGATCAACTCCAAGTTGGCAGATGAGACTTACGAAGAAGATGAAGATGAACACAGTGAAACACTGTGTGGTACATGTGGAGGAAATTACAATGCAGATGAGTTCTGGATCGGATGTGACATTTGTGAAAGATGGTACCATGGCAAATGCGTGAAAATCACGCCTGCTAAAGCTGAGAGCATCAAGCAGTACAAATGTCCTTCCTGCGTGAAACGTGGCAGGCAGTAGTTTAATAAGCCAGGGTTCACTAAAAAGCTCGATCGAGTATTTTCTGACCAAGAAATAGTATGATTTTATGGTAATATTTGCAAGAAACGAAAAAGAAGTATTATATTATGGTAATATTTGCATCTCGATTTTATTTAATAGCTGGACNTTTCTTTTTCGTGCATGCCGTTAGAAGTTATGTTTTGTTCTACGTGGATTAGTTATTGAGTTGTTATTGCGTATAAATATGAGTTGGGCACCCTCTTTCTTTGAACTAAAGGTTAGGTTATCATCATGTGAATATCTTTGCAAATTTTGAATTAGAAACAAAACACTACAATTACTATATGAATTTAGGACTTGAAGAGAACTTTTATTTTCAAGGAAAAATACAGTATTAGATGCGTACGAGTTATTAAAGGTCAATAAAGAACTTTAATGCTCATATAACGCGCACGTTAAAAATCCATGCGTAGCTTAGGCTATATAACAAAATTTCGTGCATATTACGTCCCTAATTAGACTAAAAAAAACGTGTTTATTTATCTAATTACACTTTTTAAAGTCGTGTCAAACACATCACAATAGAAAAAGTGACACCCGTGATAGCGATTTTAGATGTCCATTTAAATCAGCGATTTTCAAGGGACTTAATTATTAATCGGTCATTAGTTGGTCTACCTCGCAGGTCGCAAGCGGAATTAATAATCATCAAGAAGTAAATTGATTAGTTGAGTTGAGACTTGAGACATCATATATTTTTTTTCTTTTTTTTAAAAAAATGTATATTTATACTATTAAATATTGTTTTTCTTTAAAGTACATAAAATTTAAATACAAAAATATGTATAATAAAGCTAATTTAACATACGAGCTTGATGAAGAATGACAAAATGTGATATGCATAGGGCTGCAACGATTGATTCTTCGAGCGTTTGAGCATACAAATTACAGACTCGGGTTCGAATTCGAAATGCTCGAGCTCAACTCAAGCTCGGTCAAAGTCGAGTTCGAGTTGAACGCTCGCTAGCTGCTTGACTCATTTACATGTGTACGTTTAGTAGTTATTGATTTTAAACGCGATGTAATGTTAGAAAAAAGGATCGATCATGACACGTGTTATTATATCGAAATTTATGTCATCCTTTTATGTTAATTATGTTCGTATAGGATGATTTGAGTCATCCTTTTATGTTAATTATGTTCGCATAGGATGATTTGAATATTATGTCGAAGTATTTATATGTCATCTTTAATATTAGTGTAGGATGATTCAAATATGCATATTTACTTAAAAAAAGTTCTGAACTAGTAATTAATCTTTTCTCACACTGGTCTTAATGTTAAATTTAATAACTTAGGTTGAAAATTACATTTGACTACCAGTACATTAAGAGATTCTTTGAGATTCTTTTGCTGAAAGCTGAAAAGTCAGAGAATTCATTACTCTTATTAATTTATGGATTTATTTTTGGCTTTTCACATTAGTTAGCAAGCACTCTATATCTAGAGTTGCACACGTTGCTTTCTGTATTACTTGTTAATTATTGAAGTATTTAAGATTACAGTTTAGAAGTCAACATGCTCTTAAAGTTAACACATTTGTTCCATGCAAGGTGAATAATAATAATAATAATAATAATAATAATAATAATAATAATAATAATAATAAGAATAATAATAATAAACCATGTTATTGCCTCCTTTCATTTAAACACAAAATATTGATTTAAAGAGTCATACTAAACATACATGTCAACCATCCATTACTCTTCTCATTATAATATTATAAAAATCAATAGTCTAGATTTTCTCATTATAACTGATCTTGATTTGAAATGATCAACCATAATATACAACCAAAACATTAAAAACTTCAAGGATGGTGATTATAGTTTATGAAATACATTAATCCATATATATATATAATTTCACCAAACAGTACAATACATAAATCAACATCTAAATTCGACTGTTTTATTGAAAGATAATTAGTAATTCACACATTGCCTTTTTATTTATTTATTTATTTATTTATTTTTCTTATCACTATTGGCTTGATTTAAGTGATTCTACTTGGGTTTTGCCACTAGGACCCTTTGTCCTCATGTGAAGCCTGTACTCGTTGAAAGTCGTCGGTAGATAAAGTGCCGGTTGCTCGGCTGTGACGAGCTGCTCGGCCGGCTTAATGACCTTATCGCCCTTCGGATTGTAGAAGAATGCCAATGATACCCTCTCCTTCTCCGAATTCACTATAACTCTGTGCTCCACACTTTTATAGTTCCCATTGCTCAAAATCTTAGACAAATTGACAAATAAAAAGTTGGTTAAACTTTGAAGTGTAGCTCTTAAAGTGGAAAAATATGCTTGTTTAACACTCCGATTATGACAAATTTCTGTGTGAAACGACCTAATAATATAATTTTTGCTAAGCCTTAAAGTGTAACTTTTTTTTAATTAAAGTGGAAAAATCTTTAGTGTCAATCTTATTTAACATCAAGATTATCATAAAATATTATTTTGGACAACTTAATCGTTAGGCGGATCGATCCATTATATATTTGTTACAGATAAAAAATATGCATATTTATTGAAAAAGTATGATTGTATAATATGTCTTACTTGCATTTGATCGCCTATGTTAACTATGAAGGCATTTGGAATGGGCTTGACAGTGACCCAATTGCCGGCATGGCGGACTTGGAGGCCCGATACGTTTTCATCAGGGAAGAGGATGGTCATGCCGCCCGGGTCAGAATGGGCCGAAAGGCCCAATGTGAGGTCGGGCTGAGGGCATTTTGGGTAATAGTTAACCCTCATGCATGCGCCCAATTCGTCCGGCCCGCCAAATGCTTCTTGAAGAAAGTCCTCTCCAAGGCCAAGGTTTGTCGACAAAATCTTCATTAATTTCCCACAAAGCTCAACCACTTGTCTGCTGTATTCTGCCCCAAGTTCCCTATAATTAATTGGACCAAAAAGAAAAAAAAAAAATTATAATTATTTATTTATTATAGTAGTAAGTAGTAACCAAATATGACAGTGCATTATCTTTTGATTAGTATTTGTTTATTCTTTTCTCAAAGTAAATAAATTAATTTAAATTTCTATAAATTATAGTTATTTTCAATCACTACAATTCGGTTATATAGATCGATAGATGCAAGCGAATTGAGCGGTTCGCGAGCGATTGAGTTAAGGCTCGACCTCGAATATATAAGTATCATTTAACTAAATACCCATAACTCAAGTTAAATTCAAACCGTGCTTGAGTTGATTTCAAATTGAATTTGGGGAAAAAAAACTTACTTGAATGAACTTTTTTTCTTCTTTTTGAAAAATTCCAAGTCAGTCTCCAGAATTTGTATATTTTTACCAAGATAGGCCTCGAAATTCTCAACTATCAAGCTCGAATTTGAACTCGAACATCATTGAAAAGAAATTGAGCTTTGCTCGATAAGACCATCGCTCGACTTGCTCTAATAGGCTAGCTCTAATAAATTCACATTCCAAANCAAAAAAACAAAGAAATAAAAGTAAACCAATATTAACTTCAAAAAATAACTTCCAACACCATTCACCAACTAAAAAAAACACACACACAAACAAACAAACTTGGACCAATATTAACGTCCAAAATTAACTTCCAACACGTGAACAAAAGTCCTAACCAAATAAGGAAAAGTCTATCCAATTGGTGTGGCCACTGTTAACTTTCCACCATTATATCAAACATACTCACCCACAGCCACATCGATGTGAATCTGAGCCAACAGTCACTCACTACAAATTTATAGCTAAATTGCATTTTTAGTTTCATGCTTTTAACGCTATAATATTTTTAGTCCCAAAATTTGAACATGTCATTTTTAGGTCTCTTTATTTAATATTTTGCTGCAATTTCAGTTCTTTCATGACTCAAAAATTTAAGTCCTATAATATAAAATTTTGTTGCAATTTCAGTCTCATCAAAATATCAATCAAAGGATCAAAAGGCGGAAAGTTGAAACCCTTAGACTAAAATTGTTATGACGTTAAACCAACAAAACTAAAAATGCACTTTTAACCAAATTTATTCGACGCGCATATTTTTCACCTCACTATAAAAATATATTATTTTTTTTTTCACATCGTCTACTGACTATTTAACTTTTTTACTCCAGTAAGCAAAAGACTATGCGAAAATGGACTGCATAATTATCGTATATTCATTGCACAGTGACTTCACACTTTCTAAAGTAAAAAAGTTAACTTATCAGCACACTATCTAAAAAACTTAATATATTTTTGTAGTGGGTGAAATTAACTATTTTCACTTTATTCAAAATACTAGTATAAATCTTACCTGCATGAGTCCGGTTGGCTAGGCCACTTCCCTTCGTCCCTAATACTCTCCGGCAAGTAGTGCAGGAAAAAATAATCGCTCCAGTCGAGCGCCACGTCATTCTCCACACCAAGCCTGCTCCCGTAACCCTCGTAAGTCGCTGGAGAGTTTGCATACTTCTGCTTCTCCTCCATTGGCAGCCCAAAAAACCCCCTCCACACCTCCCGGGCCCGGCCCATCAACTCCGGGCCCACTCCATGGCCCGTCGCCTGAAAAAAACCCCACTTCCTGCAGGCCCAATCGATGGAGGCCTCTGTTTTTCGGCGTATTTCGATGTCTTCAGACAAGAGTCCACGCATGTCGATAACCGGGATCTCGAGGTTGTCGGAAATTGGGCCAGAAGAAATGGGCCGGTCCGCGGGCTTTTTTATGTAGCGGTTGGGTATGGCCCGAATACCACTTTCTGATAAGTTCTGGACCCGGGTCACGGGTTCGGGCCAGCTCTGTAAGCAGCTCTGCATTTTCTTTTTATTTATTTATTATTTTTAAATTTGTTGTTTATAATTTTATTATTTCCTTTTGTGGGTTTCTTTTTTTAAGTGGATGTGTTTGTTATATTATATTATACACGGGTATATATAGTGTGTTTAATATGAGGTGGTTAAGGTGAAAGAAGGAGAAAAAAGGGAAGAAAAGGTAAAAGAAAACGTGAATTTCGTTGGGGAAATATTTGAGGTGTTGTGTGATTTATAAGGTTAATGTTGATAGTTTTGAGAAATATGTGGAAGAGAAGTGACTTTAAGACACATTGGAAGTGTAGTGAGGATGCCGTACGTAGGGAGGGTGGATTGCTATAGATAGATACAAAAACGTGTGTGTATATATATGTAGTATTCTTTAATGGTGAGGGAGGAAAGTGTGAAAACTAATTAGGGCTATGTTTGAAAAACCTACATGTGATAAAGTTAATTTATAGCTTTTAAGTGAATTTTAAATTTATGGTTGATAATTTTATGGTTTATGGCTGAAAAATTAGATTATATGATAAAAGTGTTTGATAAAATTAGCTGATAATTTAGTTGAAATAAAATTTTCAATGAGCTTATTTAAAAAGCTATCCAGGGAAGGTTATGATATAAGTTCAAGCTTTTTAAAAAAGTATGTCCTACCAAACCAAGTTTGTTTGAATACAAGAAACTTATAAGCTAGTTTATATATCTACCAAACATAGCCTAGATTAGACATGGCCAAAAGGCCACCCGGCTCGGACCCGACTCGATCAAACCCGTTGACCACGGGTCCGAGACCGGCCCGGATTTTAGACGGGCCGTGTAAGGGTCATACATTTCACGACCCTGCCCGGCGGGTCCGGGCCGAACCGGGTCAATGACCCTCCTTTTCTATTTTTTTTTTCTATTGTTTTTTAAAAAAGTAACGGACCCAGCCCGGACCGGGCACTAACCCGGCACGAGTATAGATCCGTGCCGGTTTAGGGTCATTATTTTCGAGCCCGTCGGCCCGGAGTTTGGCCATGTCTAGCCTAGATGATCCAAAAATACTTCATAAGTGAATAGTTATTTTCGTTCGAAAATAAAGATATACTAAGTTATTAATTCACACAATCAATTTAAAATTTAAGTTTTACGTCCCACTTGATATAATATTCAGGTAATGCGATCGTGTAGTGTAGTTATGTAGTTGTGTGATCATATTGTGCAATCATAGTGAGATTAGGTGATGTAATTATATGGTGCGGTCGTGCAATGCTATCATGTGTTGTGATCGCATATAATTGTGCAAATTGCTTGGTTGCACCGTGAAGAACAACAGAGAAATTGAAACAATACGGGGCAAGCTTGCAGTGTCATTGCGGCCCCGTGAAGAACTCGGACTCATATAGTTTTTTTGTCGTGTGCCTCAGTGCATGCGGAACAACATGCACCAACGAATCGTGGTGTTTTGAAGGGACAAATATCGAGGGGTGATTTATTTAAAAAAAAAATTGAAAAATAAGTGGACAAAAAAAAAAAAAAAATGGGTGGACTGAAATAGAAAGCCCGTATTTAACAAATACGTTTTTCTAATTTTTTTTTTAACAGAAACCGTATTTAGTAAATACGTCTTCAAAATAAATTTGTTTACTTTTTTAAAAAACACATTGCCGAAAAAATGTATAAACAATATAATAATAAAACGTATTAACAAAATACGTTTTACAGAAAACCCCAAAATTAAATTGGAAACCCTAAAACCTAAATAAATCAATTTTTGTTTTATAAAAAAAATCAATTTTCGTTTTAGAAAACGTATTTGATACATACGGTTTTTAATATTAATTAATTTTTAACAAATTAAAATAAAATAAAACGTATATAACAAATACGTTTTTTAATTAAATAAAACTATAAAACGTATTTGCCAAATACGGTTTTTAACAAAATATAAGTAAAAAAAAAACTGGTTCTCCTCCATTTCCATTCTGCATTGCGAGCTGCGAGCTGCGAGGAAAAAAAAAAAATTCACTTACCTCAAAATTAAAAAAAAAAAAAGCTTTTAACAATCAATCGATTTGGAGAAGAGGTTAGTTGTTATTTTAATATAATGTAATTACATATTTTATTTTGTTTATGAATTTGTAAAAAATATTTGTTGGTTTTTTATGAGTATAGTTTAGAAAAGATTTATTGTTGATTTAATAGTTGTGTTAAATGATTATACATTGTTCTTTGATGATGGATTTCAGTGTATGTTGGCAATTTTTTCGAAAATTGGATGATTTGTATTGTATTGATGGATTATGACAATTAGGGTTTGGAGAGTTATTTTATAAAAGAACATTTGATTTTTTTTTTGTTATTGTAGTATTAATTGGAAATACTTATCTTGAATTGAGTAAAAGAATAATTGAATTTTTTGGAAAATTATGTGATGTTGTAATTGGAAAGAATTGAAAGTGTTTATATGTTATTGATGAATTTGATTTTTTTGTTGTGTGAATGATAAAAGAATAATTGAATTTTTTGGGTGTTGGGTTAGAAAGTATGTGTTGTTGTAATTGAGAAGAATTATTTTTTGCAACAGGTATAAATGGCGTCCACCGGACCATACTTTGTTAATGTGTATTGGAATGTTCCGAAGGAGTTGTTATATGATTTTTCTGATTTTAAAAACTCTCCGGATGGTTCATTTAGCATTGGGGAGAAGCTATCATTTAAAGAATTGGTAGATATTCTTTATGAAAATTTTGGGTTTCATCGAGATGGTTGGATAATTGAGAAGATTAGTTTATTGAGTAGGCAACGCGATGGTTCGTGGAATATTGGAAACCTGAATACTGATAGTGCTCTTGACTGGATATATTATTCCCCTCCTTTCTCCTATGTGTATTTGCATTTAGAGTTGAAGCAGGTTACGCAAGCACCTACAGAGGTTACGCAGTTTGAGGATGTTGCCCCTTTTTACGGGGGAGTGGCTGATGTTGAGGGTACGTCCACTTCGCATGTTCATAATTTTGGCGAAGGGACAAGCTCAACAGTTAGAGAATGCGATAATGAGGGTGATGATGATTTCGTTTGCGGTGAAGACGATTTCACAGATGATACCTCGGAAACAGATAGATCAATAAACGAGGAGAGTGAACCAGAATTTATTGAAGAACACCCATTTCCTAGTACCGGTCAGCACGTGTATCGCGAGATGGGGGAGTGGGACCCGTCGTGTGTAGACCGTGATGAGTATGCCTTGCCAGTGTGGGATGGGCATGTCGATACTATCCGTTTGGGTACTGTTTTCCGGTCCAAGAAAGATGCACAGATGGGTATCATGAGTTGGAACGTTAGTAGGTTGAGGGAGGTTAAGACAACATATTCGAATAAGAAAACATTCAAGGTGGTGTGCACATCTAACGAAGATGAACCTTGTCCGTGGATGGCTCGGGTGACGCAATGCACACGGGTTCATGAAATGTGGGAAGTAAGAGAATGGACTGAGAAGCACAGTTGTATGCAAGAAGTCGAAAAAAATGACCACAGAAATGTAACTGCCACAATGATTTCACATCTTGTCATGACCAAGATTCAAAAGAAACCCGACTACAGTGTTACCCTGATCCAGGAGGATGTTAAAAAATGTTGGAAAGTCGATGTGAGCTACAAGAAGGCATGGCACGGGAGGAAAAAGGCCATCGATCGTTTGTATGGCACTTGGGAATCGAACTTCGTACAACTCCCTCAGTAAGAAAAGCGCTTATTAAAAATGTACGTGTTATTTGTCACTATGTTTATGTATTGACGATTACGTTTTGTAACGTGCAGGTTTTTTGCGGCGCTTCAAAGTGCGAATCCCACTACGGTTGTAGAGTGGGAATGGCAAGGTGGGGAAATGGCGGCCCACTATCAGCACAGAGAATTCAAATTTGTTTTCTGGGCGTTTGGTCCCGCCATTCAGACCTTTCAGAGATGCCCGCCGGTAATTAGTATGGACGGCACACATTTGCGTGGCTCGTACAAGGGGAAGTTGCTCGTGGCCGTTATACAGACTGCAAATAAGCGGCTATTGCCAATTGCCTATGCGATTGTCGATGAAGAGAGCCAGGAAAGCTGGTCATTTTTCCTGACAAATCTCCGGCAACATGTTGTCGGCGACAGACAGATATGCTTTCTTTCGGACAGGGATGCGGGCTTACAGAGTGCCGTGGAATCATTGGAAGCTTGGCAAGAACCCGCTGCATATCACCGGATTTGTCTTCGACACCTTCGGAGCAACGTGGTTACTAGGTACAGGAATAACAAAATCCGAAATTGGTGTTGGGAGTTGGGTTCACAGCTTTCAGAGAAAAAATTTGAACAGATACGATCGCGGCTTTGGGATTGTAATCCGGACGCATACAATTACTTGTTCAAAATTCCTCTGGACAAGTGGACCCTGTTTGGAGACGGTGGACGTAGATGGGGTACTTTGACAACTAACATGTCCGAGAGTTACAACAACGTCCTGAAAGGTGTTAGGTTCTTGCCCTGCCGAGCTTTGGTACACGCCACATTCATGAAAACTCTAGACTTGTTTGAGCAGGAACAGAAGAAGTCCACGAGATGCAGTAATGCCATTGCTAGTGTCCACTATGCCGCTTATTGCGAGAGTACGGCCGCAACTCATACGGTGCGATGTTCGAACGCGGAGAGATCCCTGTACAAGGTGACAACCGGTCTACGGGCTGATGGTAGAGGGGACAAAAAGTAAGTATACGGTTTATTTATTTATTGTATAATTTTTTTTATTTTTATTTTGGTTCATTCAAATTTTTAGTTGTTTATAAATATAATTAAATGTGGAAAAACAGGTATAAGGTTTCGTACAACCGGATGCGTTGTAGTTGTCAGAAGTGGCAGACACACAGGAAACCATGTTCTCATGCTATAGCTGTGTGTCGTGAAATAAAAGGTCAACCAAGAACCTTGTACGATCCCCACTTCTGGACGGAGAATTGGGTGGCTCAATTTTCTAATTGGAGTTTTGCTCTGATTGGTGATTCGGACACATGGCCGATGGTTGGATGGACCTTACTACCACATTGGGAGAGGATTATCACGAAGGCTGGACCCGGTCGCGCGCAGACGAAGCGTCATCGCATGCAAATGGATCGTCGGGCACGCCGCCGGAATGATAGAGGACAGTG